ATACTCAAAACACTTCCTGCTTACTTCAGACAAAGCTCTGATGATCTTCCAGTCCTCTCTGGCGACTCCAGGAGCAGTGACGGCTATCTTGGTGTGCTGGCTCCTGCCTTCAGTGTTGACATAAGTGCCGTTTTTCTCCGTGTATGCAGCACTGGGTAGGATGATGTCTGCCATTGGTGCTCCTACGTCACCGTGATGACCTGAAGGGGTTGCAAATTGATGTTTATTTATGTACCCAGATTAGCAGCATTTGGTTTGTCAAATCTGTGTGTGTGTGTGTGTGTGTGTGTGTGTATACCCTGGTAGATGATGAGGCTGTCTTTGGGCAGGTCAGCTCTGCTGATGCAGCCCGCATCAGCTCCCAGCAGGAAAAGCACTTTAGGTGGATTCTTCCTGATGGCGTCCACTCCGGCCTTGTAGCCTAGATCGAGGGCAGCCACTTGACTCGCCACCCTGCTCTCACACACACACAGACACACACACACAGTATGAGCATCTACTGCATCTCATTGCATTAGGGTTACTTGAAATCAGCTGCTTAGCTGTACCTGTGCAGGACGTTAAGGACTTTCCAGCTGTCCTCCACTCCGCTGCTGGCTCGGGCGTTCTGAGCAATGGTGGAGACGGCACTCAAAATTGCAACTCCATCTTCTCTTTGCAGAGCGCCGCTGCCCACAACCACAACTGGACGCTTGGCAGCTGAAAGGACCTGCCAGGAGAGAACGGAAAAAAAGATATTCAGTCTGGAAATGACTGCCCCTGCCTGAGCCTGGTTCTGCTGGAAGTTTCTTCCTGTTAAAAGGGAGTTTTTCCTTCCCACTGTCTTCAAGCGCTCACTCATAGCGGGCAATCTGATTGTTGGAGTTCATTCTCTATATATTCAAGCGTTTAAGGCCATTTACCATTTTGAATCTCACTGGGCGACGTGCGTGTCCATTACCTTGCAGAAAGCATGTGTGCCATTGGCCAGCTGCTTCAGGACTGAAGTGTCTTCTCCTAGGTGATCGTACGTGTAACTCAGGTCAACCTTGTGGCCCACCGTGGCAATCTGCAGCTCATTATGGAGCCAGCTGACGGAGTGAGACGACAACAATTACCAAACTTTTAAAAAAAACAAACAACTTAAAACTTAGACTTAAATAACAAACCGTTAACTGTGATATGTGTTTACCTCTTGCGGATTCTGGCATTGAACAGTGGGGCTTCATAGCGAGGGTTCGTTCCCACGAGCAGCAGCAGGTCAGAGTCCTCAATGCCAGCAATGCGAGAGTTTAGCAGGTAGTTGGAACGCAGGTCAGTTCTGCAGAAAGCAAAAACAGATGTAAAAAATAACACTGTCAGCTAATAAAGCCATGCATTTTAGCACCTAAGGGATGATGGGAGGCTCTTCCTTACCCTGCACCTGCCATGGGGAACAGCTCCTCAGTGCACAGGTTTTCTGAGTTGAGTCTGTTGAGGAGATCTTTGAGGGCGACCAGAGCTTCAGCGTCCGCCATCCCTCCCACTATGGCTGCCACCTCACTCCCCTGCACGCTCTGCAGCTGCACAAACACAAACATTTATGCATGACGACAGCCCCAAACTTCCTGACTACAAACAACAACAAACCTTAAAGTTTCCCAGAATTTATTTATGATTAATTTAATTACCAAGCAAGAGCCAATAAAGAAGCAAAAGGACTTACTGCTCCAGCAACACGAGTGAGAGCGTCCTCCCAGGTGGTCGGGGTCAGCTGACCTGATTCATCCTTCACCATTGGTTGGGTCAGCCTCTGCCTCTTCAACCCATCATATGCAAACCTGCAGATACAGTTTAGTTCAGATACAGTGGAATACATTATATATA